CCAAAAAAATGCTTCTACTCTGTCCACATTGATGAAAAGTTCTGTAATGATTAGTAGATTTGTTTGGGCAAGAGTGAATATCCTAGACATTTGGCTGAGTGGGAATGGGAATCAGACACTCAGGTTTTCAGTGCTTCTTCATACTGTCAGATAATCCAGCTGGCACTCTACCAATGCAGGCACGGCTGTGGAGGAGCTGTCAAATGGCTCTGGTATACAGTTTCAAGACATCTGCAAGTTGAGCGCATTTATAACTAGATCAAAGTCATATTACGGAAGATGGTGTGTGGTGTGAGAAGGAATGCAATCTAAATACACAGCCTTAATGTTTCTTTAATGGTTTATTCAGATGCTTTGAGCTCAACCACCTGACATTATAAGAAGTCTAAGGTCAAGTCACATTTATTTGTACAGCGCTTTATACAGTACTGATTGTGTCAAAGCAGCTTTACAGTGTCAAACAGCAAAATAGTCTGTCAATAATGCAAGTGTCAAAGATACATTTTCAGCTAAAGTCAGTTCATTGATGATTCAGTAATATAATTATTCAGTTCAGCTCTCTTCCAGTAGTGTTTGTGCAGTCAGTCAAGCGTCCCCAACTAAGCAAACCAAAGGCGAATGTAGCAAGGAACCAAAACTCCATCGGTGACAGAAATGAAGAAAAACCCTTGGGAGAAACCAGGTTCAGTCGGGGAGCCAGTTCTCCTCTAGCCAGATTAAACCAGCATGGTGTGGTTTTATTCCAGGCTGCAACACAGGTTAGATTGTGCAGAGGATGTGTCTGGTTCCCGTGGTCTTGTGCCGATGACTGTCTCGTTGACGAGGTCTTCACAGGGGATCTGCCTCGGTGGCTCATCTAGTTGTCCTGGTCACATTGTGCAGAGGACTCATCTGGTTCCTGTGGTCTTGTCCCGGTGGTCGTCTGAGACAAGGTCTTTACAGGGGATCTGTATCTGGGGCTCATCTAGTTGTCCTGGTCTCCACTGACATTCAGGGCTGTAGAGGTCGTCTCTAGGTGCTGATCCACCATCTGATCTGGATACAGATTGGATCTGGGAGGCTACGGGGACCATGTGATCTGGATACAGGCTAGTTCCATATGGCTACTGTGACCTCGGAATAGGAATGAAAGAGACTAATATTAGCTTGCTATTCTTCTTACGGTGCAGCAAGTACATTGGGTGTTATGGGAAGTGTTCCCGGTTCCAGTTGACCTAATTCATGCAGCCTAACAATCCTTTAATGGATTTGAATAGAAATAGAAATCTGATAGTGTGGTATGTGTATGCCAAATTAAGGAGATGTAAAAGAGAGGTCTTTAATCTAGATTTAAACTGACAGAGTGTGTCTGCCTCCCAAAAAACGCTAGGTAGATCGTTCCAGAGTATGGGCACTAAATTGGAAAAGGATCTGCTGCCAGCAGTTGATTTTGATATTCTAGGTATTATCAAATTGCCAGAGTTTTGAGAACGCAGCGGACGTGGAGGACTGTAATGTAACAAGAGCTCGTTCAAATACTGAGGTGCTAAACCATTCAGGGCTTTATAAGTAATAAGCAAGATTTTAAAATCTATAGGAGGTTTAATAGGGAGCCAGTGCAGTGTTGACAGAACCGGGCTAATATGGTTATACTTCCTGGTTCTAGTAAGAACTCTAGCTGCTGCATTTTGGACCAGCTGGAGTTTGTTTATTAACCGTGCAAAGCAACCACCCAATAAAGCATTTCATCAATCTAACTCTGAGATCATGAATGCATGAATTAACGTTTCTGCATTTAAAATTGATAGCATATGTCATAATTTAGATATATTTTTAAGATGGAAAAATGCGGTTTTACAAATGCTAGAAACATTCAAATAGCACACCTAGGTTCCTAACTGATGACGAGGAATTGACAGAGCAGCCATCAAGTGTTAGACAGTGTTC